AAAAAAAAAAAAAAGAGCTAATGTCTGCTGAGGAGTTCTATGCCGGACACTGCACATGCTTAACCTCACTCAACAGCTCTCCGAGGTACCTGCACTGTCAGACATACCCCCTGATGTGGGAACTGATCCCGAGACGAGGATCCAGCAGAGGACTGTAACATCAGTTTGGCTGCACACCTCAAGTATTTTTTATATGAAGTGGAACAGAATTGGTTTGGAGTGGCGCTGGAGAATAAGCTCTCGACCACTAGGTTGGTTTGAACCTCAAGGTCTGCGGTTCAGACTCACCAGCTGCTCCGTGGAAACCCTATACAGGGTCAGTATGGGTCGGAACCAACTCGACGGCACTTAACAACAGCGACAGACCCAGCAGCACTGGGAGCCGTCACTTCTCCAAGCCAGCACTCTACCAGGCAGATGCAGTCTGTCAATCATGTATTTAAACCCTGCGCACATTATCCTAACTTATTACCAAATAATTCATTTATTCATCCATTGCACAAGTATTATCAGGTCTCTTTTTGAATGCCAGACACCATCATTTCACAGAGACTGAGGAGGGAGTACAAACTACAATTAGACCCTGCCCTCAGGGATTAGCCAAAGAAACAGATACTAATCATTCATTCACTCAACAAGCAAGTTCTGAACACCAGAGACTATAAGAACCAAAAGCCACGGCCACTGAGTTAATGCCAGCTCACAGTGACCTGTACAGGGGGGCTTCAGAGCGTGTCAATCTTTACAGAAGCAGACATCCTGGCCTGTCTCCTAAGCTATGGCTGATGGATTTGAATCACAAACCGATGCCTAACACACAATGCCACCAGACCCTGTATCTGTGAAGAAGATAGAGAAGGCTTGTACCTTCCTGGGGGCTTACATAGTAGTACTGGGATCAGGCAATAATCAAATAACAGCATCGCGAAAACACTTGAAATGCATGGTGCAAGAGTGGAAAGCTTTTCTAGATCGGCAGTCCAGAGGCGGCTTCTGGAGGGAGTGACTACAAGTAGGCAGTAGCTAGGAGGGAGAAAGGAACCATCGTAGGTAGAAGGATCTGCCCTCAAGTGGGAAGGCTGGCCAAGCAAACCGGAGGAACTGGGCCCACGGTGCTAAAACAGATTTTCCAACTGAGACGAGGATCCAGCAGAGGACTGTAACATCAGTTTGGCTGCACACCTCAAGTATTTTTCATATGAAGTGGAACAGAATGCTCTTGCTGTTCTCTGCCATTTGAGTTGGCCCTGGACTCCTGGCCACCCCACACTGCCCAGACCAATGCCATCCCATGATCAGTTATACACCTACATTGGTTTGTACTTGATGATTTTCAGAAGTAGATCACCAGGCAACGGCAACGTAAGCATTTTCACTAGAATTTAACTTTTCAAACATAGACAGACACATAAAATTTGTCCCATTAAGCATTTTGCCTACGAATGAGGACAGCTTCGAGTGGGTGGCACTGGATATGAAGACAAAGGGAAAGTCCCAGGACTTTATGATGAAACACATAGAGTGAGAGAGAAAATAGAGGAAAACTCCCAGACTTCTGACTGTACACTGTGGTAAGCAATGGACTGCAAACCACAAAGTTTGCAGTTGGAGGTGCTCTGTGAGAGAAAGATGAGACTTTCTGCTCCTGCAAAAATGTACAGCCTGGGAAACCCTATACGGGTTCACTGTGTGTAGGAACCCACCTATTTTCAACTACAATCACATCCTTCAAGCTTCAGGCGCTATCTTATTATAGTTCATCTGTGCATACTGATTCTAATACCCATGGTTGGACCACCTGTCCTCACAGATCGCAAGAAAACATGAAATGTGCGCTCCTGGAATAAGCACTGAGCTGCTAACCACAAAGATGGTGGTTCAAATCCACCAGCCCCTTCTCTGGGAGAAAGATGAGGCTTTTCTGTTGCTCCTGTAAAGATTTACAGCCTCAGAAACCCTTTACAGCGTTGCTGTGAGTTGGAATCAACTTGATGGGGGGAGGGGGGGTTAGTATTTAGTTTTAGATTTGTCATTTATGTGAAAGTGTGAGAAATAACAATTAACACTGATGATCTAGGAAATGTTTTCAGTCATGAAACGTGGCAGATTGTAACACTGTCAAATATTCCCAATCTCCCCACATAGCGTACAAAATTATCATCAGTAAATGCTGAAAAAGAACTTATCAAAGGAAAAAAAATACTCCAAAGTGGCACAAAGACTTTTTAAAAGGCTCGCTGAAAATAACCAGTAAGTCAAGACCCCCAATGTGCAAAATCCGTAAGCGCTTCTATGGCATTTGAATTGTCAGAGAGCTTTTCATTGTACTCCTTACATATGTCCATTCATTAAACGGCTCTACGCAAAACCCCACATGGAGACCCTGATTTCATTCATTCGTTCAACACTCATCCAGGCCTTGACTGATGCCCCAGCTCCGCGTCATCCCGCCGGGCCCCACGCACTCGGAACAAAGCCTGAGCCACCCGTGCATTCCAGGGACCGCAGAGAGGGGTGCTCCACCCGGAAGCAGGCCAGCGGGGCCACCACGACAGCCTGCGGGCGAGGGTCGGGGTCGAGAACACGAGCACACGCGGTTACCTAGACGCCCCGCTCCCGAAGGAGAAGCCACTGGCTGTGCTGGTCCCGCCGGCGGCCACAGTGGCGGAGCCCAGGGTCCCGGTCCCGAAGGAGAAGCCGGTGGACATGGCTGCCCCCGGGTCCGGCGCCGTCAGCAAGCTGGAAAGGTCTGGAGCGCTCCTCTCGCTTCACAGCCGCTGGGGCCCCGACCTCATCGCTCTTGCCACCCCGGACCTGGCGGGAACTGAACCGTCAGCGTCCGCCAAGAGTAGGCCGAAGGGGTGGAGCAACGGCGCGCGCACAAGCACGTCCCGGCGCCTGGCGCGCGCACGTACCTCCGGGAGACAGCCTGCGTCGCAATGGATGATGGGACAGGAGTGGGGTCGGCGCGCGCCCGACTTTCTTAAAGGGGCAGATGTTCAGAGTCAAAACAAACCGATCGTAACCGTTTCTCTCTTTTTTTTAAATTTAGTTCTTCTATATTGGTATCTGTGCTGCCGCGCTCTGTCCTTTATGGCTTTGAGACTCAGTTATTGCTTATGTCCTTCCTACTGGAAGTGCACAATCCCAGAGGACTGGGCCCTAGTGAGCATGTGCAAGTCCCTCCTGTAACCAGAACCAAGGAGGGAGAGCGAACCCACTAATAAGGGGCGCTGCCAGCGATTTCGGAAATCGGCAAATTACTCATCTTTCCAGCCATGGAGCTTCAACTCTGCTCCGGAGCTTGCCATCGTGGGACGCTGCAGCCAGGTGCCAGCAGAGCGCTGGAGCTGGAGGGCGCTGGCTCTGTTCGTGGTGCTGAGAAATCGGAACTGTTCATGGCTCTAAACCGTCTCCTATCGTTTAGTCCACAAGCAGAGTCGAGTCCTGGTGTGGCGCTGTAGGATCAGCACTGGACTGCTAACCACAAGGTTGGCGGTTCAGAGCCACCAGCCGCTCCTTGGGAACCCTAAACAGGGGTTGCTGTGGGTCGGAACCTACTCGACAGAACTTCACAATAACAACTAACAGTGTCCTAGTGGTAGGAGCGTGGGGACTGGGCTGTGCTAACACACAGGGATTCTGTCCATTTCACTTCTAGGGGCCAGGTAGGGTTCCTGAGACCGGAAATGTTTAGGGGCGCACACAGCCTCATCTCTCTCCCACACCGGGACCATTGTTGAGGACCGTATAGTCAGCGACCACACAAAACGACCCCAGAAGAGGGAACCCCAAACCTGAACCGCCAAACCGAAAGTGCAAACCAACACAGAACACCAGCAAAAGACAACACCAAAGAAATAAACGAGACAGAACACGAAAACGGAACGCGAAAGGCGCCCTGGGATAACACGCTGGAATAAAAAGCCGGACTGAAAAGCAAGGTCGAAACTCAAAGCCCACAAGCCAAGCATACGAACCCCTATATAGAACCACTAAAGAGCGCCACTAACGGACTCGGGAAGAATCCGGACGAGAAACGAAGCGGCACCAAAACAAAACGCCAACCAATCCAAAACAAAAAGATGAGCCGCACGACAAACATAAAGATTTACACCCCCGGAAACACTGAAAACCGCCGAAACCAGGCACAACCAACCCAACAGCACAAAACAACAACAATATAGGGTCACTATGGGTCGGAACCAACTCGGAACTTAACAATAACATGAGTAACGTCGGAGAATCATGGGCTCCTGCGTAGTCTATAAATGCCCAATGAGCACGTTCTGCAAGCCAGCCTCCTGCCCATAGGCACTCAGCGTTACTCTGTCTATGGGCCCGGAAGCCCTCGGCTGCCGTATCCCTCCATGCTATGGCCTCTGCTGTGACCACTTTCCCAGGTGGGGGGCTCACCCTCCATTCATAGTCTCCAACAAGCACTTCTTGTTGGTCCTGGGATTGTCTGTTCCTACTTGTGAGGTGACTCCTTTTAAACTTAATGGCATGGAAAAACCAAACAATCTGGGCATTAGAGTCCTGTACAACCAATTTTCATGCTCCCAATGGACTGCTAGCCACAAGGTCAGTGATTCCGCGAGTGGGAAACACTATACAGGGTCACTACGTGTCAGAACCATCTCAAAAGCCCTTAACACCAATAACCTACACATTTGTTGTTGTTAAGTGCCGTCGAGTCGATTCAGACCCATAGCGACCCTGCACAGGGTTTCCAAGGCTGTAAATCTTGACGGGAATAGAAAGCCTCATCTTTCTCCCGCAAAGCAGCCGATAGTTTCGAACCGCTGACCTTAGGTTCGCAGCCTGATTCGTAACCACTACGCTACCAGAGACTTCAACCTACACATTTGGTGGGTGTTAAAAAGAATGTGAATAGAAAATCCATACCAAGTAAATTCACAGTACCACAATAATCCTTGGGAAGCATCAGCTGAGAGATTTTACCACAGATAGAATGTGGGAATCTAGTCGATTTAAAGAGATCTGTAATAGCTCTTACTCTGATTTTCTGAAACATTCAAGAGAGAGATTCTGTTGAAACCACACGTAACATTTATGTTCAGCCTATATCTTGAAAATTATTCTCAGAAGAGCTCTATTGGGCTTTCAGGATTTATATACTGTGATATCATTCTTCAGTAAAAAACCTAATAAATTCTCAGCAGAGGCAATAATAAACACAATGTATGAAGAGGGAGAGATCAATAATAAACATGTGACTACACGTTGGTCACCATTAACACTACAAACAAGGTACGTGAGTGTCTATGACTCTCACCTTTTAGGTTTGGACGTTTGCAAAATAAAATGTTAGAGGTGAAAGCCTCAAGCTACAGCCCATTTCCCAATCACAGAATAATTGTCTGTTTACTAATGAACTTCTCATTCATTACTCATGAAATAGAAAAATCAAAGCAATGAGGGGATGTTTCCATAAAGTTGAATGACTTCCATTCTCAGTGTTGAGATCTGATCTGCTAGTTCCATCTTTTAGAATGTTTAACTCTCTCCTTGGCCACCACCTCGTAACTATAGTGGCAACAGGATGTTAATATGCTCCGCTTCTAGTTTATATTGAGCGTATTCTTTCTTCTCTTCACTTCTTTTTAACTTGTTTTCCCCATAGAAGCTCCCTACTGCAGTGATTCTCAGGGAAGACAAATACAAATACGGAACTTCACCAGATCTGGTCCACTAAACATACTTAGTAAAGCCAGCTGTGGTCCCTAATTGAACCAGAAATAAAGAGACTTTGGCCAAGGTACTACAATTTCCTGGAAAGATGACATCTGATCAGCATGGACCATATTAAAAAGTAAGAGAGCTGACACATTGCTTTTGTGCCAGTATTCAAGACTCCACCCCAATGCCTATTCATGACCATTTCTCAATTGCTTCTTGCATATTCATAATTTTCCTCGTTTATTCCTGCTCTATGTACATCCTTAAGCTGCCATCCCTGTAATGAGGAGGTTGTCTTGGTGACTTGCTCCTTGCTCGGTCAATCGGAGTAAAGTCTTCCTCTTTGTACCTCCACTCAGTCTCTGTGCTGGCTCTCAACTGTGCTAAGTGACACCTGAGCTAGTAGCATTTCTGGTGGGCCAGCCAGGAGGTTCGCCACTCAGACCCAAGAGCTGACTCCCTGGCAGCCCTGAAACTGTCTGAGCATGCACCCAGGGTTGCCAGGAACCCACCCCAGCACCGTGGCTAACTTCTGCAGGTAAAAGAAGAATGAGAGTGCTTTACAAGGAAAAGAAGGCCCATTTTGAAATCTGTGATACTTGTATCATTAATCCAATTGCTAAAAGCCAGGGCGTTGTGTGTTTAGAACCCCTTTCTGTGTATTAAGGAACACAGGTCCAGTATTGGAGATCTCAGGAACAGAATGCTTGACTGTTTGCACTTGTGTATGTGTAGGACCAGAATTCATTTGTTGGAGAGTTTCTGTTTAAACCTTAGTGTAGGAAAATCAGCAGAGAACTGAGTTTTCTTTGGAATGCATCCTTAAAAATTGGCATTATTGTGGTTATGACCCTATGA